TATACTTGTACAATGGATAGAAGTAACACTCAATGCAATAAGAAAGTTTTTAAGTTAAAAAAGAATTACGCCAAACTGTTCGCCTCAGCAAAATTTTACCATCTTGTGCGCATATGTTCGCACGTATGTAAAACTTATTTTTGCATGTGCTCTTGGTTATAGATAGTATTCGACCTCGACTACTTATGCTGCAAATACGAGCTCTTAATCAACTTCCTAGACCAAGGTATAAGCATCACAAATTTGACTTTTATACAAGTGTCGTTTTAGGCTATTTTTAGGGCTTTTACGAAAAGCTCTATAACTTTTTAACGAAGTAAGTCCGAACGAAAAAATTTTGGGAATCTTCCTGTATATGTTGCCTCTACCTATGGTAAAATCCTGAGTCAAAAACTCAAACACCGATTGAGCAACTGGTACGCAAAAAAGCTATGCCACTCGTGCAATGACTCTTAATATACGGCATACCATAAATGTCCAAATTAGTCTGGCTTCTACAATCACATTTTAGTTTGTAAGTTGCTATTACATCTATTTAATATTCTGGTTGCTATGCGATTCATGTGCATTCATTGGTGATGTTGTTTTTTCCTTTTTAAGTTAATGTATTTTATTAAAAACACGAAAGAACATGACATTAGTTAAGAAGATTTGGAAAATAATCAACATATTCTTTTGAGTGAATTAAGTTGTCATTTGAAGGAACAATTTTAAGTATGTTCGAGCAAATCGTTCTCAAATCTTGATCACTAAAATTATTTGTAATATCTATGAGATTTTCGAGAGATATGAATAATATTTGAATCATTGGCACCATAAGTAACATACGCATTCCAAAATCTCTGGCCACATTTCCTTCCAATAAAATTAATGTGTTGACCGTGTTCAACGTCAACTGTCGATCGTATGTTAATTGGTTATCTAATGAGCAATCTGCGGTCATACCAAGTCTTTTTAAATTAACAAATTCCTTTTTGATTAGTTTAAAAAATTCAACTGAAATCGGTACATGATTAATATCATACAAAAATAGAAATCGAACATTTACCCAATCATAACACATCGTTTGTGCCAAATAATTTTGTTTATAATTCAAAAATGTGTCCGGAATATATCTAAACATTTCATATTTAAATGGTAAACTGAACACATGACAATAATAATATGGACCAGTGTGAATCGGATTTATGAAACAGCCAATCTTCCGTCTTGATCGGAGCCAGTACGCAGACTGAAATGTTTTTATAACACTGTCAGTTGTAGGATTTGAAATTTTAAAATCCGACGATGTAACAGAGATAAAATAAAATCGAAAATCAACCAAGTTTTCGAGTTTTGACAAGAAACTATGATTCTCTATAAAGATGAAAAATTATGTTTGTGATAAATAAACCACTAGTTTGCTTAACTCGCTCTTTCTTCTCTATCTGTCTGATATCATGATTGTCATTAAATATATAGGGGAATTAGATTTCAAGTGTCTGTTTCCGCCTGCATTAATTATCATGCCTTTAGAAATCCGATTTGACTTGGGACAATACATGAAAGCAAAATACCGTAACTCTCTAGTAACACGGTAATAAAAATGATTTCTCTGCGATTTTGAACCAGACATCCCACCCAGGGATATCTGTAGGAATAATAGATTCATGTCCATCACATATACACCGAGGTATGTGGGACTATGAAATCTGCAAGAATTCTAACATCTCTCAAGAGCTGGGTAAGTTAACTCAGAAATGACTATAATTAGCCACAGAAAACCACTTTTGACTTGGCTTGACTTCTTACATTTTTCTACACCTCTGATTCGCCGTGACTTCCGAAGTAATTTTCTTCCAAAGGTCCACATCAAACGTTTTTCCAGTTTTATGTGAAGTGGAGAAAAATAACTCTTTCTTAACATATAGAATCTGCAATAAACCCGATGTAATAGTGCACATGTCCTTAAATCAACTTGGCTTGACTTGGGACAATACATGTATGGCTTGACTGGAGACTGGAACAACTTCTGACCTGTGCAACTCGTGATTCTTTAACATCACTAGAGTCTCTCAAACCTCTCCAGACGGCTTCAAAAATAATAAATTCTGCCAGAATCAGTTCTATTGAAATATTCTATTCACTCTCCCAGTCTATCGTAGAAAACATAAAGTGTGTCATCAAGAAATGCAGACCACTAGCCTAGTGCTTAAAAACCCCAGAATTCTCAGAGATATCTATTTTAAGACTAAGACTAATTAAGTTTCAGAGTTTTCGCGGATTCATATTTATCATTCGGTGTCACCGTTGAGTTCGAAGTGCTGCGTGTGCTAATAGAATATTTCAGAGATGACTGATAAACCACTGTCAATGAACCGATTTCGATTCTTCATGTTAACCAGATCTGTGTGCGGTAGTAAATGAACTTTGCTTGTTCCATTCAGACTAGTATTAAAGAAAGCCAAACTGTATCGCGCATCCGAGTACAAGCATCAGATACATACTCAACAATATTACACTGTGGAAATAACCAGTGACTGAGACTTAATCGACTGCGGATACATGTACAGGGAAAAAATCCATCTTATCCTAAATATACTCATTTCCAGTACGACAATCTTTAGAAATCCTTATATTTTAGTAACATATTCTGAACGGTAGCAGACAGAAGCGTCATGATTTAACAAGTCACAATCAGATATATATACATAGGTTTCTGACAGAGGTAAGAGCATCAATTAGTTTTCTCTAGTGCATTAAACGGACTTACGTGTAAGATAATAACCATCAATGAACTCTTGACAGTTGGAACATATATTTACTGATAATCGCTCTAATTTACGACATAAACTCAATAGAGAATTAATTCGACTATACTTCGTGGTCATTCTTAGAAGAATAAAATAGAATTCAGTCAAATAATGAAATTTATTCGACATATTCAAGTCTTCTCTGTCGTCAATTTTATCCACTGTAACGTCTACATATTCAATGACTGGCATGTGATTTAGTAAATGAAGAAAATCGTCATAAAATCCCAACGTTACTGTTAATTTTCGAATCGTCAATGATAAATTATACGGTTGATTTTGCAAATGAAGAATTGATTCTCGACATTTTATGTTTAAAACTGTGATCATCGATTGGTCACAAAACAATATTGCTTTAAACATTTCATCGGACTTTAAATTAACTATTTCAAGCTTCAAGCTGAATAATAATCGAAACGATTGAATAGAATACATAAACAATCGACTAATGTCAAAACGTTTAACAATTTCGAAATGTTTCAAATGAGGAAATAGTTGAGTAATAGATTCTGAACGAAATGAAAATATTTTTTCAAATGTTTCAATATCATTTAATATTAGACTCTGAATATTTAATCTAATTGACGGGAGTAATATAGTGCAAAAAAATTCAGTAATACACGGATCAGCATCTGTCAGATTGATTTCCCGCATATATCTCTGAATTATCTGATGATATCGTTTGCTTGTACCGAAAAATGAATATAAAACATGAATCGATGGTAAACAGTCCATTATCATCAACAGAATCTCAGTTGGCATTCGACATAATATTGATGAATTATCGTCACACTAGGTAGTTATAAGAGAAAAATAATACGTGGGCATATACATCAGTTCGAACAAAACCAGATTCTTACACATGATTCTATAGGAAAACAACTGTTGAATTCTTATTGTGAACATTTTTCTGAAAACTTACAAGTCTCTTCGGCTCATTCACCTGCCATAAATTTCGTATTTAGCTTATTACAAAATTCTAATTGTATAGGGATCGCACACACTTTACACCGGGTTTTTTTATCAGTTTATAGCAGAGATAGCTCACTGTCAACGTTTATAAACAAACGCAAACAGTGGTGCTAGATACCAACGAGGTGATATCCTTCATAGATAACGAGTTAGTAAAACCCCTTTAAAAGATTTTGACCCATGGCACTTGCTTCAAAAATTATGTTCTTTTGTTTTCTTGTCCTACGAGTCGTAAAAATGCTAAAAGTTCACTTAACTCAGAGAAAACAAGGAACTAAGAGCTGAAATTTTTACTACTGAGATAGCAGTCTGTCGCTAGAAAACAAAATTTTAGCTTTCTATTCCAATCAGATTCGAAGTATTGAATTCCTTCTGTCTTAGCGAAAATCATGTGATTTCTACTATTCATTGGAAATAGGATGCATATTAATCATTTCTACTATCCATTTCAAAATAGAATGCATGTGATTTTTACTTCAAAGAACTCCGAGAGAGCACTAGCAACTGATTTGCGGTTTCCACAATCAACCGCAAATCAGTTGCTAGTACGGTCTGGGAGTCTTTGAAGTAAAAATCACATGCATTCTATTTTGAAATGGATAGTAGAAATGTCGCATCATTAGAAAACTTGGTGCTCGCTGCGCGCTGAATCAAATTAAGTAAAAATTGGGCGCCAGGTGCAAAATTTTTCGGTGAATCCGACATAGTGGCAGAGCCAGGATTTCGGCTCAGCTCCACATTCAAAATATCTGTAGCAGTACAAGATTTTTTTCAAAATTTTTCATACAGTACTTTGCTGCTTAATATTCTATTTAATAGCTTATTGCTCATCTATTTTTTTCAATATAAATCAACATCTGATCAGCTTTTATTCTAAATTTATTTCATGATATCTTAATCACATCAACAAAATTCTACTAATTTTGTGCTTCGCAGAAAATACATCAATAACCTTTTCTAAATCTATTTCGATGTCTTTTTCAATAGCTAACACACCATGATCGCTAAGTCTTTCATCATTCATCGAATTTCGCGCATAAGCTTTTATCAATATCATTTTAGAGAAGGATCTTTCGCAAGCGACGGATGACACAGGAAATGTAATCGCTCCTATATATGAAGCTAAAATTTTCTAGAGGGGGCTCAGAAGTTTCTACAGGGAACTCAGCTACCTCCAGCTCCCCCCTGGATCCGCCACTAATTCGAATGCGAGTTCCTTATAATTCCATGTTAACTTCTTTTTCGGCGTCGACATAACCAATGTGACATTTGCCTAAATTTTATTTTTCTCATTGACGCCTTTTTTTCAACCAATTTAGAAAAATAAAATTTAGACAAACGCCCCGTTAATTATGTCGACGCCAAAAAAGAAGTGAACATGGAATTATAAGGACTCCTGTGTTGGATTCACCGAAAAATTTTACACCTGGCGCCCAATTTTTATCTAATTTGGGTCAGCGCGAAACGAGCACCAAATTTTCCAACGTATGCGGTAGCTC